CTTCTCCAATTTTGATTTAGGTATTCCATTCTACCAAAAAGCTACTAACTTCTTGCCTGGAGAGATTTACCTGACTCATGCCACCTACGTTTTTTTCTTACATTCAGACAAATAAGATGCTTATAAGCCTTAAATAAGCTGCAGGAAAGATCTGGATCACTGCAGTGTCTGTACCATGGAAAAGAGATCCTTTTATTGCAGAAAAGACCAAGCAAAGCATAAAGTTCTATTGCTTTTTTCTGCTTTCCTGTTATTCAAGAGCAGCTACACAGCAATATATTGGAGGCAAAACCATAAATATCCTCTTTTATTTTAATTTCTGCTGGTATTCTGCCTCATACTTGGGACAGCTCTCAAAAAGCTCAAATAACTTTGAAGGAAACAAATCACAAAAGACAGGTCAGCTAATATGGAAACCTGGGGATGAGTGTCAGCAGCTGCATTCAGATTTCATGGGGCACATCCAAATTATCCCAGTGTTCTCAGCTGAGCACCAGTTGAATGGTAGCAGAAAAAACTCAGCCCTAAAAGAGTTGTGTGGCACAGGATCCTCTGTGCAGGACAGCGACCACTCAACACCAACAACTGGTCAACACCAACTCCTGGGATCAGTCTGAAAGGATATCTTATAGTTAAACAGCATAAATTTCCAAAGAGATATTTTTACTTACTGGTTTTACTTATAAAGAATTTATTTCCCAAAGGATATCATTGCAGATTATCTTGGGAAAAGTTGCCTACGCTGCCATGATATTTTGTTTGCTGTCTGTCTCATATTCCTCAGAAACCCACACACTGTATCCTTCTAAAGGCCCTCCATTTCTTTATGTTTACCACATTGGAAATTCCTTATTTTAAACTGACTGACATTCAGAAAACAGCCATACTACAAAGCTTAGCACAGTAAATCAGCCTGAAGTAGGTGTCTCACTGGACCAGGAAAAGTATGAAGACTTAATTTGTAAACTGGTTTCCACAGTCATAAATTAAATTTAAAAGGTCTGGAAGACATGTTCACAAATGATCCACATAATTTAAATCAGCTCCTTTTCAGTGCTGAGATTTAGGAATGTTTGTGGAGTTTTGCTTTGTTGTTCTTATTTTAATTTATTGCTTCCTGCATGATCACTCAGAGAAAGAAAAAAATTAGGCAGCTGTATACAACTGTACTTCCTACTTCAGAGAAAGGAAAAGAAGTTTCTGGGTTCACAACCAACATTCACCACAGGTAATAAGCACTGAATTACGTGTCTCAGACTTCCAGATCTGAACTGTTCACAAAAAGCCACTTGCTTTTCAGTGGCAAGAAAAAAGTACTCCTAAAACCTTAATGGAAGTCATCAAAACAAAATGGAAAAATTCATCAAGAGCACAGATAGCTTTGCAGGAAATATTATGGTAAGTGGAAAAACATTTAGTAACTCAGAGTTACTGCAATCTTGACCTCAGATAAGGCAGAAGCTGTTGCAGTTTGAGATTGCTTCTGTTCATACAACACAGGCCACAGCCAAATGATTCTTTCCATTTTGAAAGACTCCAAGGAGTTCCTCATCAGAGGCCTATTGGGGCACGAGGAGCATTTGCTCTTAACCAACGTGAGTTACTTTTTAACATGCCTGTGGTGTAGCTGAAAAGGAATGGCTGGCTTCAGGTCAGGGAAAATCTGGTCCAGCCAGGAATGGTTAAGGGGAAGTAGTTGTACCTCAGTCCTCTCCAGGAAAGTTCTATAAGGAACAGTTCTATAAGAAATTTTAACCTAAATATTACATGTCCCTTAACCTAGATTTGGGTCATAACCGAAACCACAAGCCTCTGCTTTTGAGATATTTTTGTCTCTCTACAATTACCTTCTTTACATTCCTCCATGACGCCTGAACTCCTGCTGAAAGATTTCACATACAAGGAAAGATCTACCACTACTTTCTCCAGGCTAGAACTTTATTTCTTTTGTATAGCCAGAAGATCAAAGTGAGTTACACATGTGGTTTGTGGATTCCTCTGAGCGCAGAAATATAAACCCAAGTGACCCTCAAACAACGTATGGAAAAGAAACTAAAGGGGAAATGATGATATGATTTTAGCTTCAATGCATCTTAAGGCAGCTAGAGAAACATATGGGAAGATTATATATATATTCCTAGCCCATTGTAAACACAAATCTTAAAAAAAAAAAGTATTTTTAACTATCACATTACATTTTGCAGATCTAGAAGAACCCCAAAATTAATGGTTCTAATCCTGATCCTTTAATCAACCAGAGATATGCAGACAAAAAAATCTACCACCCAGTAGTTCTTAGCTATTTTCCATTGACCTACTACCATTTCCTCTCTTTGGAATTCCCTATTAAGGCACCTGAAACAGTCACCAATACAGAAAAAGTTCTCCCCTATTTTGAAGCTGACACCTGCAAAGTTGTTTGCTATTGCGAGCCTCAAAAAAGCTCCAAAACCCCCCAAAACACACACACAAAAAAAGAAAACGAAACAAAACACAAACAAAACACACACACACGAAAAGAAACTAAGAAACAAAGAAAACGAAACAAAACACAAACAAAACACACACACACGAAAAGAAACTAAGAAACAAACTAAACAAAAAAAACCCCAAACTGACCAAACAAAGAAACCAACCAACCAACCAAACAAACCAAAACACCAAACCCAAAAGAAATAGAAAAAAATACTTTGTTCTCAAAGCTTGTTCTCAAGCCCACTAACACCTAATGCAGGGCTCAGTACATTACATTACACAGCTACAACTACTTTTTTTTTGGTAAAACCAAATTAATTCTTACACTTACTACCCATTATCTACTGGAAGATATAGCCTGAATAAATGTTGCCATCTATATCATACCATCAAAGAAAATCAAACATGAAAAATGTGTCTTTCTGGCCGAGCCATGTTATCACGTTAAGATTAATAGTTTTCCTTTATATGGTAAGTATTTCAGAGCATAGAACTTGCATAATAACCAGGTCTTTAAAGACTGAGGCTTTTTTAATCTACTGAATGTCAAACATGGGATATTTACCATGTGGTACAAAGTTCCACTAAGTGTTCTTGAGAAAGGGGAGATTAAATTTGCTTCCAAGGTCTATTCAGCCCTATAACTGTTTCTCTAGGCAGGAGTTCTTCCTCTTGCTAAAACTTCTGTTTGCAAGGTTGTGGTCATACACAAATTAATAAGTCAGTGTTGAGCTAATAGATTGAAATAACTCAAGAGAAAACACAAATATACCTAGAGGCTGAAGTTATGCTTATTTCAGCTACCAACACTTTCCATTTTCCTTTTATTTTATTTATAAAGAATATATTTTGTAAAGTTCATGAAGTAAAAAGTTAAGGAGGAGATGGCAAATGCTATATTAAAAACATTCCTGTACACCAACCAGCATTTCACATCTTTGTCCCTGTCTGTGCCAAGGGCTTCCTATTACATAATTTTGTATAAACTCCCTTTATCTGATATGATCTCTCCATTAAGGAAATACTTCCCACTTGGATGTTTCTTTCTTAGTCTTGCATTTTTTCTAGCTATGTATTGGCAACTTCTAAAGGGACTGCAGAAAGAAAACCAAATAAAAATCTGGCTTAGCATGATGTCCTTGATTAGGACCTGTAAAAAGAGGAAATTAAGGATGACAGTGATGGCTTGCTACTCTATATTCAATTAAGACTGGCCTCTTTGTGACTGTGGTTCATGCAGGATGTGCAGTTATCTAATACAGCCCAATTCTAGCAGCAGAACAATTAGAATGCAAAGCATAACTTAACTTAAAACAGGCTCTGGCAGTATTTTTTTCCTTTCCATGTGACACCTTCAGCAGACTTTAAGCAGAAGTCTTGAGATCATGTACTATGCTGAAAATGAAAACTCATATTCTGAGCCCAAATGCAGCTTTTAAAATACTTAATGATGTGAAAATGGAGTACAATAAGACTGAAGAAAGCAATTGGAGAAGGGCTTTGGTGCCTACACAAAAACCAAAGAAAAATAAGTGCTGTATTTAAGCATTAAATCCTAAAGCTGACTTCTGTTCTGTGGTGAGCTCAAACCAGGCTCTTATATCAATTAATATGTCACTTATGTACTGAAGGTGGGCAAAGCTCAACAACCACCAACAGTATTAAATCTTTCATGTCTCCCTTTTTTTTGAATGACTCACCTCTAGCCATGACCGTAAGAATCTGGCAAGATTTTCCTACCTAACAATAATCATCACCCTTTCTCCCCAGCTGGTCTGCAGGGCTTCCTGGCGAGGTAGCCACCCTGCAGAATATAGCCCAAAGACAAGTCACATGCAGATTAAAATACCTTTCTTCCTACACATTTCCACCCTGGGGCTATTTTTCCCTCCAGAAACACATTCTTAAGCAGCTTTTCTGTTTCACTGATGATAGCTCAGGTACTTCAGTGGCAGCCTGAATGGCAGTGGGAAGGAAACCCAATAGCCAAACAACCTCTATCTCCGGAAGCCTGAGAATTGCCTCTGCCGAGGGCTGATTGAGTGTACTGGAAAATATCACTCTGGTTTGGCCTTATTATATTTTGCTGCTGTTGGCCACTGTCAGAGACAGCTTGCTGCCCTGGACTGATGATTGATTTGGGAACATTCTTATATGTGTGTGCTGAGCTACTTCACTCTGGTTTAACCATCTGCTGTAGAGGGGAAAGAGCTTAATCCCCTTGTCTTTTCATTTTGGTATGATCAGTATAATTTCATCCCTTCATTCTTAACTGGTAGAACTACCAAAATTCACAGAAGTTCTATTCTTCATCCCAAATTCACTTTATGTTAAACTCAGTATCTCTCAATGTGATTTTCAATTTAAAAAAAAAAGAAAAATATACTTAAAAGAGAACATCAAGTCAGGTTGTTGGATGTCATCCAGTGATGAGAACTGTGGAGATTTTTGATCATCTCAAACCCAGCCAATTAACAAGCTACAGTGAGAAGCCAACCAAATACTTTTAGAAATTATCTATTTACCCTTTAGTTTGAGGTCCACATTGTGTCTCAGCCAGGGATAAACACCATAATTGGACATATCTTCAGGAATAGGGTTATTATATATCCAGCCATCACATGCAAATCGATAGAAGTTCTCACACGGATCTACAGATTGATTTATCTTGCTCAGGATGCCAGCAGCTGTTAAAAAGACACACATAGATTTTGTGGAACACTTTTTTTTGTAAATAGACAATTACAGAAGGCTACAGTCCAGAAGAGATTATTGATGAGAAACAAACAAAGAAACAAACAGGACAAAATATCTGCAAGCAATCTCCTTGAGTGCCATACAGGAACAATGACTGAATTTAGCACTACATGAACATGAGCTGCTGGAGCAAGACACCTGAAGACAGGCTCTCCATTGTTACCATGGTAGAATTAATTGCCTGAGGAATTTAGTAGTGATACATATTAAGTAGATTGTGATTAGCATTTCAGTAACTAAGCAGTGTTTACCTCTAGTTGAATACTGCACAGGAAAACAAATCAAATTCTGATCTACCATACACTGGAAAATATAATTGTATTTTGTGTCTGCTTCCTTTACCAGTTACTATTGTCAGTGAAAGAGAGATGGTAAGAGAGAGATCAGTCTGACAAGCCCAAGACTTGGTAGCTTTTTGGTTCCTAATCACAAAATCATAGAATAGTTTGGGTTGGGAGGAACCCTTAAAGATCACCTAGTCCAACCTTCTGCAATAAGTAGGGACATCATCAAATTGGCCAGGTTGCTCAGAGTCCTATCTAACATGACCTTGAATACCTCCAGAATGGAGCATCCACCACTCTCATCATAAAAATCTTCTTCCATATACCAAGTCTGAATCTAACCTCTTTTAATTTAAAATCATATAAAGTGTGTGCCAGATCTGGTACAAAAGCATCTCTGTGCTTAACAATTCAGTTGCTAGTTTTCTGATAACTGGAAAGGAAGCAATAAAATATATCTGAAGGTTTAGACACTCAACATTTTTTTTCCTATTTAAAAAAAAAAAAGACCTATGAGAAACTTTGAGTCAACCTAGTTAGACCAGTATTAGACCAAACTAAAACATTAATTTTAATTGTACAAAATAAACAAAACTGAAGCAACTTGAACAGCAACTTTTTAAAAAGTTTGGGGCTGTCATTCTTTCTCCCTCATTAATAAAGTTGAGTAAAATGCATGATGGGAAAAATTAAACTGTATAAATATCTCATTAACATACTATAATCATGATATAATTGAGAGGATAAAATTGCTGCTTACCAGCTTCAATGCATTCTGCAGTCAAACAGTATTGTTGCTTCGGATGAAACTTTATAAGACCTTGGCTAACTGCAAAATGGAAAACCATAATGAGATCATTTGCAATGAATTTTGACAACTGCAGCCAAATGTTGTGTCCTTGATTGTTCCAGTATCAGTGCAGCCTCTGGTCCCAGTGCCCCTCTGACTGCAATGATTTAAAGCACTTAGAATGTATATTAAGTAAATATTTAGAATGTTCATTATGTAAATACTGCAGCTTATACAAATATTTTTCTCCTCCTAGTCCTGCTTTCTCCTTTCCCCTCTTTGCTCACAAGCAGCACAGAGCAAGGGCTGTCTCTGCACAGTGCCTGGAGCTGCATCACTTCAGCCCTTCTCACTGACAGTGAGCACCAGCACAATACAAACAATCCAGCATCGCTATCATCCTCCAGAGCTTGGAAACACAAGAGAATAGAATGGCTTGTGTTAGAAGGAACCTTAAAGATCCTCTAATTCCAATGCTCTGCCATGGGCAGGGACCCTCCACTCGACCAGTTTGCTCCTTCCATGGTTGGAGATGCCACATGGAGCAGTCTCATCACTCTCTGGAGGGTTTCCATGGCTCCCCTGAGCTGTGGGGCTCACACTGCCCTGCAGCAGCACTGCACTGCCCAGTACAGCCCAGCACAGCCCAGCACCAGCAGGACACTCCCAGGGCCTCCTTATTCCAGCCTGGAGCAAAGCAGATTGCAATGGACACAAGGATAGCTGTGCTTTATAAGGCACAGCCCAGTTTCAGTCTGAACTGTCTCCCAAAAGTATTGTGATTTTTGCTTCCAACAGCCTTGCCAAGAAGAACTATGAAATTGTTGGTTAATTTTGCTCATCTTTTAAAAACATGTATTACAACTTCAACTGAAATTTAAGCACAGGAATTGCTAATTTCAGACACTGCTCTCAGGCAGCAAATATGCAGATAATTGATACTTGGGATTAGGAAGGGAGAATCCCAAGGGATAGGTGAAATAGTTCTCACTAGATGTGCTCAGTAGGCATAAAGAAATGTCTCATTATATCCATTACCTTAATAACAGTCCATGGTAAAAATAAAAAAAATCAAATAACACTGAACAAAAAAACCCAACAATGAAATATCTTATGGTGCCACTGCTTTAACAGGGCTGATAGTGATAAAGCAATTTCTGCTGTAGTTATATGTTATTCAATAGTGATAGAAAAATGTGAAATAACATTTCAACCCAGGAAAATTTTTTAACAAAAAGTTCTAAAGCTAGAATTGAATATAAAGCTGATCATCTCTTCCAGTCTCACAGTTTTAATAGCAATTAATGACAGAAATAGCTAGTTTTCAAACTAAATTTCTCAGAAAATAGGAATATAAAACCAGTTCTGGACAGCTTCTCCAAAGCTTGCATTGGTTTAGTGAAACACAACACCTCAAACACCTTTGTAAATTAGCCAAGAAACACACAAGATTTTTGATTACAAAGGTTGTAATTGGAATACTGAAGAACATGATAAAATAGAGAAGTGAAGATCTCCAGAATATGATTTTGAGCCACTACAAAGATGAACTACAAATAATGGATAATGTCCCCTTTAATTAAGTGTTGCACTCCTCCCAGCTCACCTTTTTCCCTGCTTAGAATTTAACCCTTTAGAATTCATCCAGGTCTTGAATGTTTGCTAAACTTTTTTTCTTAACAAAGCAGAGAAAGGAGGGAAAAATCCAGACATCATTTCATTCTTAATCTGTAGCAGCCCTTGTGCTTTTGATACTGATAAATAGAAGCAAAGTACCATTTCAACTGGGAAACTTATAATTTTATCATTAGAACAAATTTTTGGCAGTAACATTTTCATTTTAAGTAACAGCTAATTTTGACAGAAAAAAATTTCACAGTTTTTTTCTCTTGCCTTTTTATTGTTAAGATAATTAATCGTGACATTATTGCTTGGAGTTATAGCCCTCAGCATCCCAGCCTCTTCCTTGATAAGCTTGTTTCCATATTCTTAAGCAAATACACACCACAATTGAGTTTAAAAAAAATGTAAAATTATAAGGGAAAAGAGATACAAATGTGCAGAAGCAAATAATGTGAACGTTTCCTGTGATGTGAGAAGCCTAAAGGACTACCAAGTCAGGAGTAGAGGCTCTCAAATTGAGACTCAAAGCTGCCTGACTTCTCAGCCAAGGGAACTGGAGAGCAATCTGTTTCCCCCAAGGAAGAGGTGGCTCCTGTCCTGTCACAGCCCCAGCTCCTGCCAGAGTGTCACAGACAGGACCCCAGCAGTGCTGAGCCCCTGCCCTGCAGCTCCCCACTGAAATCACAGTGAGATCACAGCCAGCTCGAGTAAGGAACAGTAAATTACAACACCTGATTCTCTCACATCCTCCTTAGGCTTGTAGGAGCTATGAGAAGAAAGCAGGAGAAAGCTACATTTCACTCCTCAAGCTGGAAAAATTATTTCAGGTGTACCAGAAACAGCAAATTTTGCCGACTAAATGAAAACTGAAGAAAAAATAACGTCTTGAGGTGCCTAAAATGTTTCAGATGGACAGAAAAAGTTATGTCCATTTCTGCAGTTTAATAAAACTAAAAAAATAGTTTTTTTAAAAAAAGCTCAAGCTTACAAACAAACCATGACTTACATGTCACAATGAGGTGTGGAAACATCTAACTGAAAAAATATTAAACCAAAACAATTTAACTTTTTTTCTTGGTCCTTTAGGTTGAAAATTTCAGACAATTTCCAAACAAATCCTAAAAGCATTTTGGTTGACCCAAGGCCAGAATTTTTACTCAGCAGTTATGCCAATGAAAATTTTGACACTGAATCTATGCCTACAGAACATGCCACAGGCACACTTGGAAAACTGTCAGCAAGAATTAATATATTTCCTTGAATTTTCACACCTGGCCTATGGACATGGCAGTTTTGTCTCTGAGAGGCTGTGGTGGTAAATGTCTATTTTTTTTATTGTTCTAAGCAATAAACAAACAAATCTAGTGCAGGCAAAAAGAAATAAGGTCTCTCCACTATTACTCCCTGGTGTTTATACTGCATTCTTTAAGTGAAAAAATTTTTTTTTCCATCTTGAAATTTGAAGACTCAAACTCGCTCATGGTTATAAAAAGTTTTATTGACTTCAATGGGATCACTAATACAGAAGTTATTTGCCTGCAAATGTTGCAGAAATTGCCACAGAGCAGAAAAACTCTAACCAAGAGTGAGCCTGGTGCTTTAAATATTCTATAGAAAACCTGACATTGTTTTCTATATTGTGACTATAAACAAAGCAGTCCTTTCAAACAAGACCACAAGATCATAAAGGATTGGAGGAAAGAAAAAAATATGCTTAGAGGCAATGTTTCCACCAATCTAGGGAAATCTGTGTTGGTCTAAAGAAACAAAAAGTTGAGCTGAATTGTTCTCAAAGAAGATGAAACTCTGTAAAGTTCTTACAAGATACAACATAGCTTCCTCTTTGGTTGGAGTTTCTAGGCATATTTATACTTCTACACATAATTTCAGAAGTGTAGGCATATGCTTCCAAGTGTTATTCTCATAAAACAAATCTACAGGTAATTTCAGATCTGGGTGAGGAAAAACAAATTCCTTCTCTGTTGCATCTAGTTACAGTTTATATATCTGATGAAAATATTTCAATTTCATACTAGATGCACTCTTTACGACTTTTGTAAAGGCAACTTTGCAATTCATCACAGAACAGAAAGATCTAAAAAACACGCACACATATGCACTATTGAAGCCTTCTACAGAATTTGAGTCAAGCCCTAAATGAAAACCAAATGAAGGAAAACCCAAAAGATTTCATAAAATGTGTGCACTACACAGATTCATTTTCAGGAAACACAGAATATTACTCCACATTGGTCACAACCAGAGAATCCATAATGAGCATAATCTCACCTGTTTCCCTCCACCCTGTGAAAGAACCCAGTTCTGGTCAGAACACATTCAACTGAGTATCCAAATTTAAATTCAGCATTCAAAACATTACACGAGTTTACATTGCATTTCCCAGCTCTAGGATTCCCACAACAAGAACTCCTTTACTGAAACATATCCCTTTCAGGATCAATATAAAAAAGGGGGAAAGAAAAAGAGCCTGAGATTTTCCCCAGAAGACACTGTGAGGCACAAACACCGGCACCCAGCAGACAGCCTGGGGAGGGCTGTGCTCAGGTTAGAGTCAATGCTTTCACTTACCCAAGAAAAGAGCGGTGCCAAGCACAACAGTGCCACTCACAAAGACACCGAGGGCGATCCGAGTGGCTTTGCTGGCTGCTCCCCTGGCCTCGGGGACGTTCTCTCCTTCCATCGGGGTTGCTTGGGACGTACTTGCTCTCGCAGAAGTCTGGTTTTCCCCTGCTGCTGTTGTGTCAGTGTTTCAACTGTTCACAAACTGTGCCCATGAGCTCTCCTCCTCCTCCTCTCTCCTATTTAAAACTCCAGGTTTCTGTCATGAACCATTTCCTAGGCACTTCCTGCTCTCTCCCTCTCAAAGCAAAATCACATGTAAGATAGTAGCTGTCTCCTATGTTTTGCTCTGCCCAGAAGGAGGAAAGGCAAGCAGTGGCCACAGTTTGTGCAGCCCTTGCTGCCTGTAGAGCCTCTATGAGCCAAGCGCTCAGCAGTCCCCCTTATCAGGGGTTCCGAACACGAGCATTTCACAACGTCGCTGAACAGATGTTTTAACTATTCAAAGAGCTGCACACCCTCTCCAATCAAAGCAGGATTGCTGACAACTTCTACAAACACGAGTCTGATGGAAGGTTTTCTTTTTTCTTCTTGCACTTATTTAAAAAGACTAATTATCTGCTGACTAAAGTTTTCTCTTTTTATACCATTGCTGCTGCATCATTTGGCTTCACCAGAAGAGGTACCCACTCAGCAGACAAATCCCTTTTTAAAGCTTCCTAAGAACTCTTAGAATATCATGTAGCATTTTATTTCGGGAATTTGGTATGTGACACTGTGTGCCAAAAATCACAGTCGAGCAGCACAAAGCAATAATCAGCACAACCTACAGTAAG